GGGGACAAATTATTTAAGAGAAAAGAAAGAAAAAAATTTTATTTTTCATTGATTGAGAGTTCTTGGAGGGAGAAGAAAATTATGGTTTATGACTTGGGACTTGAATTGTGAGCAGGACCAACATCTTCATCAGCCCACCAGGTGCTCCACCTCTAGTAGGAGGTTATGGCTACGGTTCTCCGTTCTACGGTGGGTGGGGATGGTCACCATTCACTTTCTTCGTGCCGGGGCCAAGCATTGCCGTAGGAATTGGCGGAGGCTTTGAGTTTTTTGCCGCCATCTTAGTGTTGGGAGCCATCGCCACTGTAATTAGAAGATTGACAGGGCGGAGGGAGGAAGAAGAAGAAGATTTTTGATGATATATATACATACATATATTTGTTATGATACCTTGAATTATATGTTTCTCTAGCTTCTCTTGTTATAATAAGCACATATATGTTCCTTTTTGTATGTAAATCTGTAAATGTGAGTTATGGGATACTTATGTTGGTTAAAGTGAAACGTTGCGGTAAATAAAGTTTCATTTTAATTGAAATGAATGGAGCACCGATAATCTTTCTGCGAAGTTTTTTCAATACCTGCGTTGTAAAATGAATGATCTTTGAATTAATCTTTGTATTTTGATTAAAATAGTATGGTATTTCAATGAAAAAACCAAGGTTACTATTTTGCTGTTTTTGACTACCAAAGCATTGTTGAAAATAAATTTCTTAAAAGTTTAATTGTTAAGTAATGCACGAGAGAAATGTGTGGAAGTTGAAGAACAATGGTTGAGATTGCTTTCATTGATGAATAATATGTGATGTGGATAACTTCTCAATGCATGTAACTTATCTTCTCCTCTTCAGGTTTTACAAAGGGTGTGATAAGCTCAGCAACTCAACTTCTAAGAAAGATGGAAGAAAAAAGTAATGCTTCTGAAAAGAAGTTGTTGTGTGACAGAAAGATGGAAGAAAAAAGTAATGCTTCTGAAAAGTTGTTGTGTGAGTTGTGTGACTATGAGTGTTCAATTTTACACGAATGTCTGAGTTTGAATTTATATATATATTTTTAAGTTTGTATGATAAATCTTTGATAAAGTGTTATTTGAGTGTGATGAAATAATCCTAAAATCAATATTACAATATGTCGAAATGATAAGCATATATATATATATATATATGCCTTTTTTTATGTGATCTGAATATCAATAAATGAGAAAGATAGAATATGTTTTCACACAAAAAATGCAATGCATAAATTATTTTTAAAAATATAATCTAGGTTCATAATGTAAAGCAATATTTTGAGTTTGGTTCAATAATTTTAGAGAAAGACTATGATATTCACATGAAAAATTATAGTTTTCTTTATAAGAGATGCTAAAAAAAACTAAATGGGTTTTCTTTTGATATTCAAAATGAATGTAAAGTTTCTAGAGGCATGTTGCAAAGATACATCTTTTCTTTGGCATCTTCATTTTAGGTATATGAACTTTGAAGGATTAGAGTTATAATTAAAGAAGGGGATGGTGAGAAGTTTACCTTATATTAATCACCCTGATGAACTTCAAGAAGAATTTAAGCTTGGGAAGCAATTTAAAAAAGAATTTCCAAAAGAATCAAATTTTAGTGCTCAGAAAACACTCGAGCTCATACATACTAATATGAATGGACCAATCAATCATGTATTTTTTCTTAAAATCTACTAATTGATTCTCTTCATAGATTATTTCTTAAGAAAAATAGGGATGCAATTATTGATGCAAAAATCAAAGATCTTTGATGAATTCAAATAGTTTAGGTTCATGGTGGAGAAAAGTGACTTCAGATTTTAAATCATAAACATTTTTATATAGTAGATTTTACTTTGAGAGAATTTTAAAAAACTGATGAAGCAAATGAAATACATATATTTTTTACTATTGCAAGAAGGTAAAAATAGAATGATGTAGCAAAAAAGAAGAGTACAATCATCCTCAACATGACA